ATGGGTGGTCTCATGATGGCTGGTGCTCTGGCAAATGGACAATGCTCGTTTGCATCAAGCACTACATGGGTGAGTTTAAGTGCGCCGATGGGTGGTAGCATGGGTTCCGACTACGTCCAGGATGCTTGCAGAGGAAAAAACGCATTTATTCAGGCAGTAGTCAATCTAATTGGACAATGCCCTGTCAACAATTCCACCCTGGGGCTTGCTTACCAGGACGAGAGATTCTGCACGTCAGCTCTTAATGAGGCATTTGCTGCCGCTCAGGACGCATTTCGTTCAAATGTTCATGCTGCAATATGCAGCGACAACTACTCGGGCCTGCTTTCAATCGAACAGCTAAAGTACTCGCTGGGAGGCTCCTTCGTCAGTCACAAATCGAAGCAAAATGATGGTATTGTTGAGTTCTCGAGCTGCGCGAAAGGTCTTGAGATGTCCAAGTTTGGTAGTACATATAGCGACACTTTCTACTTGACCCAGCTAAATCACGCTGACACAACTTTTCGCTATGGCGATTCGCTGTTTTCGAATTCGCAAAAGCCAGTTAAGTGGTTTGAGTGCTTGTTGTGAAGAAGCACGAACTGTTCGTCATTTGTTTGTAAAGCCATCTCTTTGCAGCAAAGCAACATAGGCTTTTGGTAGTAAGGTGTTTCGTTAAAAAAGTATAAATTCTTTTTATAGTTCGTATGCAGCTTGGATGTAAAATAGTAATAATCCTACATTTGACCAGCTAAGCACCGCAACGGGGGTGGTAAGAAAATGTCGATGTTCAATTCGTATTATTTGCTCTCCCAGCTTGCTGCGATTCCCGGTTTAACGGGTCTTAATTTTCATGATAAAGCGCTATTGTGTGTCATCCGCAGACTTTTAGCTTCAAGTGTGATATTTCAATAAAGAATAGAACATGAGCGTGAACAGCAATGGAAAATGAAAAAGGTGATAACTTTATGCCTAATGGTGTAGTGACTTAACTCAAAGAAATCTAACAATGTATGAAAATGACGCTAGCTGTACTTTTCAAATTCACTAAGGTGCACACGAATACGTCTTGAATTGGAGAATTTGCGTATAAATCGAGAGTGCTACAGGATAAGCAGTGGTGCTAGTGCTTCTGCAAAAGATTTACGGCGCATCTACCACTGAGAGAGCTCCGACTTAATGTGTTCACCGTATTTGAAAATGGATTCGGATACGATTAACTGGATGGCCGTTGGCGGTTGAAGTGGCCTAAATGTCGCGAGGGTTTTCTCTGGGCCTCGGGGGGGGTCTCGGTCCAGGTGCATATTCTAGGAGCTAGGTGCAGGGAGAATGCCTGTGTTCTAATACATCAGTTGCTCTTTCACCATCCACATTCCAACAGGGTAATGAGCCCGAAGGAGTCGCGCTAGGGGAATAACGATACAATGCCAAGGAGCAACGGGTCAACAACGCGAGGACATGCTGGTGCTCTTGGACAAGGCCAGAGACCAGTGGTCCAGCAGCTTTCCACCAGTTCGCGACCGCGAAGAGATCGATTGGCGTCAGCGTAAGTGGCTTTTGTGGACGGCGTTTAAGGAGTATGGGATCCTGGACACGCGTAGGGCATGCTCAAGAGAGACCAACTCAGCTCTGCGGAAGGGAAGACAGCTTTTGATCGCCAGAAGTGCAAGATCCAGCGCATGATCGCATCGGCGATATCGCCACAGCGACCACTTAGAGACGGGCACCGAGATGTGGTTGGAGGTGAACGAGATCTAAGAGAGGCGCATGGATCCGATGATCAAGAAGAGCATCATTCTATGAAAGTGCGATGAGCTCAAGGAGCTCAAGTGCTCGCCAACAGGCGATGTGAGCATTCATCTGGCCAAGATGTTTAGGATCAAGTCGGACTTGAAGAGCTACGGCTACAAAGTCAAGGATATCAACATGAGGCAGATGATGCTGGACAGTATATCTGACCAGTACGAGTATGAGCAGCCGCGCGGAGCACTGAAGTATGGGCTTTCTGCGGAGATGACCCAGGATGGACTCCGGGCGTTGATTGAACAAGCGGCTGTGAATAAGTCACTCCGCGGCTAGGGAAATCGTGCCATTAATACAGGTAGTGGCCAACGGCAGCAGCAAGGAGGCAGCACAGGTGCTAGCCATCAGCAATAAAGTGAGCAAAATGGGAGCAAGAATAATCAGCACGGTGATGATCAGCGAAAACCGAAGCGTGACAGGAAGAACAAAACTTGTCACCGGTGCAATGGGATCGGTCACTTCCAGGCTGACTGTACGGCTATTATTGATGATGCTGCTGGGCCTGGTGCGGCTGCCACCAGAAGAGGTAACACTGGAACGAACACTGGGACGCAACGGCGTCAGCAGCTCTCCAACTACACGAGTCGCGTCGGCGAAATCTGTGTGAACAGGCGTGGAGTTGTTGAAGATGAGCAAGGTGTGGTTGCTGGTGTTGCGATGGTCAGCCCGATGCTGGCCGTTCCGGACACGAAGAGTGAGGATAACAAAATGGCCAAGTCGCTACCAGAGGGATCGTCATGGTGGTGTTTCGACACAGGTTCCAAAGATGCACTTGACCGGTGATCGCTCTCTCTTTGTTCATCTCGAAGACATTCACCCAGAAAGTATTAGTGTAAATGTCGTTGGTGTGGCTGCCACGACGCTAACTCGTGCGTCCGGCATTGGTCGAGTGAAGGTCATCGCTCAGGTGGACGACACCGAGGCTGAGGTCTTTTTGGACGATGTACTGTACATGGAAGGCGCGTCACACGGACTGTTCTCGATGCATCTCGCAATTACAAATCAGAAGCTCGAAATCTTGTACGATCGAGCAGCATCGAGATCCAGTGCTTACAAAAATGGGAAGCAGGTAGTATCTGCTTTTCCTCGAGAAGTGATTTAGTTGTTTGAGGCGAAGCGTCAAACGGATGCTCCGCGACGCCCAGGTGTAACGCGTGTGATCGTCAATTACACGATTGCGGTCGGTGTGACCACACTCGAACAGTGGCACAACCGGTCTGGACACATGAATGTTTGGTATCTCAAGATCATGGCGGATCGTGGACTCGTGCGCCGCATGATGATCACAAACCGGCAGCACAAGACGTGTGATTCTTGCCATATTGGCAAGCAGAGACAGAAGCAACGCCAGCAAAAGTTAGATCGCCAAGTTACGGCTCCCAACATGATTGTGTTTGCTGATTTGATGTTCCCGCCACAGAACAACGGTTCGCGATTTGTCGCGGTTCTCGTAAGTATGGATGGCTGGAGCCGATATCTAACTGTGTTCTTGCTCACCGACAAGAGTGGGAAGACTGTGAACAAGTACATGCAGCTCTACGTGCTGTGGGCGGAGCGCCAAGCTGGTCGTGGGATCACGAAGATCGCACAGCGTGAGCACGAGCCTGCAGAAAGCGCGTAGTTTCCGGTGCAACGCGTTCTCACAGATAAAGGTTGTGAGTTCGTGAACAAGCATATGAAGGCGTTCTATGCGGAGTGTGGATTCGAGCACATAAAAGTCGGACCTAAGAGATCACATCTGAATGCTATGGAGCGTGCGATCCAGTCGTTGAATGACTACACGAAGACGCAGATGCACAAGTCCGGAATTGCTCGTTCGTTTTGGTGGTATGCCCTTTTCTATGGAGTTTACATCACGAACATGATGTGCCATCTAGCCATCGATGGGATTCCAGTCCAGCGAATGCTCGGCGTGAAAGCTGATGTGCACCAACTGAGGCCCTTTGGCTCGCTCGTGTACATCCAGGTGCCGAACACACCGGAGCGTTCGAAGAGTGACGACAATTCTATCATCGGCAATCTACTTGGTGTTCGAAATGGACACTGTTGGTGCACGTGTGTATATCCCCAGCGAGAACACGGTCAGGTTTGCTGCTGAGGTTCGCGTA